AGCCATGCATTCCTCCAAAACCCAATATACGGTGTTAATGGGAGACTTCAATGCAAAACTAAGGACAAGATGGAACGGTGAGCTGAAAGTAGGGAAATTTGGAATAGGGCAACGGAACCCAAGGGGCCAGCAGCTGGCCGACTTCATGGAGAAAGAAGGACTCTTTATGATGAATTCTTTCTTCCAGAAGCGGCCCCACAGGAAGTGGACCTGGTTGAGCCCCGACGGTTCGACAAAAAATGAGATTGACTTCATTATGACGACCAGACGACAACTGTTCAGTGATGTCGCCGTGATCGCGAGGGTGAAAACTGGTAGCGATCACCGAATGGTTAGAGGCACACTGAACCTAAACGTTAAGTTGGAGAGGTCTCGTCTAATGAAGTCAACGCTCCGTCCCCCTCGTGCTTTGTTCCAAAGTCCCGAAACCTTTCAGCTCGAGTTACAAAACCGTTTTCAGTGGCTAGAAGACTGCAATGAAGTGGACGATATGAATGACAAGCTCGTGGAAACTGTCCATGCGGTCGGAGCTAAGTTCTACAAGACCCGCCGCAGAAGAACACAAAAACTCTCCGATCACACTCTTAATCTCATGGCTGTTAGACGGGAGATGAAGCTACATTCTTCAACAGACTTGACAGCATACAGGCATCTGAACAGACAGATCTCCAAATGCATGCGGCGGGACTTACGCAACTTCAATACAGCTCGTATTGAAGAAGCGATCGAGCGGAACCAAGGCTCCAAAGTCTTTGCGAGAGATCTGTCTGCCAGAAAGAGCCAACTGTCAAAGCTGAAGACAGAGTGTGGCAGCATCGTTTCCGGGACACCTGAGATTTTGAGTCAGATTGAGAGGTTCTATGGGCAATTGTACACGTCATCGTTGGAGCCACACGCAAGTGTGAGTAACGATCCAAGAGCGAGTCTCTTCCGATACTATTCCGAAGATATCCCGGACGTCAGTCTGAGCGAGATTAGAATGGCTCTCCAGCACCTTAAAAACGGTAAGGCCCCAGGCGAGGATGGAATTACAGCGGAGCTTCTGAAAGTGGGTGGAAAACCGGTACTTGAAGTCCTTCAGAAGCTCTTTAATTCCGTCCTCCATGGTGGCATTACACCGGAGGCGTGGAGCAGAAGTGCGGTGGTCTTGTTCTTCAAGAAAGGTGACAACGCTCTCTTGAAGAACTACAGACCGATTTCCCTTCTGAGCCGCGTCTACGTGCTGTTTTCTAGAGTCATTACGAATCGTCTCGCGCGCAGACTTAACGACTTCCAGCCTCCCGAACAAGCCGGTTTCCGAAAGGGCTTTAGCACCATAGACCACATACATACCCTTCGGCAAATTGTACAGAAGTCCGAAGAGTACAATTTGCCACTATGTCTGGCGTATGTGGACTATGAGAAAGCCTTTGATTCCGTCGAAATTTGGGCGGTGCTGCAGTCCCTTCAGCGGTGCCAAGTTGACTGTCGGTATATCGAAGTGTTGAAGTGCTTGTACAGTAGGGCTACGATGGCTATCCGAGTACAGAACCAGAGTACGAAACCTATCCAATTGCAGAGAGGTGTAAGACAGGGTGACGTCATATCCCCGAAACTCTTCACCGCTGCATTGGAAGACGTTTTCAAGCTTCTGGACTGGAAAGGATACGGTATCAACATCAATGGCGAGTACATCACTCACCTTCGATTTGCCGACGATATAGTCCTTATGGCAGAATCGCTGGAGGACCTAAGCACTATGCTCAATGACCTCAATTGTGTTTCCCAACGGATAGGTCTTAAGATGAACATGGACAAAACAAAGATCATGTTTAATGTCCATGTCACACCTATGCCGGTAGTTGTTGGGAACACTAAGCTCGAAGTTGTTGACGAGTATGTTTACCTGGGACAAATAGTCCGACTAGGTAAGTCCAACTTCGACCGAGAGGTCAATCGACGGATTCAACTCGGCTTCGGAAAGCTACGAGACATCTTCTTGTCAGACATACCTCAAAACCTTAAAACGAAATTGTACAACCAGTGCGTGTTGCCAGTGATGACTTAAGGAACTGAGACGTGGTCCTTCACTGCTGGCCGTATGAGAAAGCTCAAGGTCGCTCAGCGAGCTATGGAGAGGGCTATGCTCGGAGTTTCTCTGCGTGATAAACTTAGGAATGAGGATATCCGCAGTAGAACCAGAGTAACCGACATAGCCCAACGGATTAGTAAGCTGAAGTGGCAGTGGGCCGGCCATATAGCTCGAAGAACCGACAACCGATGGGGAAGAAAGGTTCTCGAGTGGCGGCCTCGTACCGGTAGGCGAAGTGTAGGGCGTCCCCCCACGAGATGGAGTGACGACCTGGTAAGACATGCAGGAAGTCGATGGATGCAGGTGGCTCAGGACCGTGCTTTGTGGCATTCTTTGGGGGAGGTCTATGTTCAGCAGTGGACTTGTGAAGGGCTGTAATGATGATGATGATGATGATGATGATGAAGTAGATTAGAAAATGGTTTAGATTTACAATTGGACCTGTTAGGTGGAGTTGTTGTCAAGATCGCTAGTTACAATTACAAATTTAATAACATTTTTTTATGAAAAATTAATTGGTTTGATTTGATAATGCTACTTATGCTGGAGGTTGTGATGGCTTTTACTTAACTTAAATTTTATTACTTAGTATGAAAGAAAGTAGTTATTTTTATAGCGCGGCATTGGTATCACATGAGTAAAAAATTCTTGTTAGATATTTTTATTTTAGAATTAGGGTCACAAACGAGCACACAGTCCACCCGATGGTGAGTGGTTGCTGGGGCCCATAGATATCTACATCTATCTTCGTTTGCGAATTAAAATGCAGATGCGTTGCCAGCCGTGAGGACTAAGATAGAATGCCTCTTTTCCAGTAAAATAGGTATCCGGCTCTCTACACTCACCATACGAAACACATCAGCATGAAGTTGCTATTTTACGCTGGCATTTTGTGAGAGCGTGATTCTTCCCCGGTCGAGCCGACCCATTCGTGCTGGAACTATACTATTAATATAGTAAACATTTCTACGTGTTAGTAGAATGGCAGGTACTTTAAATATTGTCCGTAACAATTTTAAGTATCTGCTGATTTGCTATGTACAAACACACTTTAAACTGTGATACAAATAAACAAAATGAGGGAGAAAAGTAAGTGTTAGAGAAGCTAGCTAGTGAGAAGTGAAACGCAACGACAACATACAGCTTTATTTAATATTAGGTCTTTACCTATGAAATTGCCGTTTTATGGAATAAGTTAACGTAATTTTTTTTCTACATATTTAACTTTCCTCTTTGAAAATTAAGACGAAGAACGAATCAACCGATCGTAATGGGTGACACGGCGTTCGAAATTGTTCATTGAAACTGCGGGCTGATTAAATTTTCAAGTCAATCGGTCGAGCAGTTTCAAAATTTTCAAAAAATAAAAACCAAAAAAAATTGTTTTAAGGCTTCTAAGTAACTTTCAAAATATTTGATTAATCAACTCCAGACGTCAGAAACACTTTTTGTCCTTAAAAAACTGCGTCGAATGCCGCCAAGCAAATCAAAATCTAACAACGCGTTCCAAAATTATTGCCATTTAAAAATTTCTAAATAATCGTTCCAGGGATGGCCTGCAGGGTCGCAGGAAAGAATTCCGCGTTTTTAAAATAAAATTAATTTGAAATTAGAATTCTTAGCCAAACAATAATTATTTTGATTTGAAATGGCCAGTACAGTAGAATGACAATTTCATAGGTAAAGACCGAATATTTGGTACAGGTTTGTTGGTTGATAATATGAAAAAAAAAACGAGGTAAAAGTAATTCGAAGGTATGCCTGAAATCCATCAAATCGCATTCGAGTAATGTGGCGAAATAAAAACAAAAACTGTGGGTTTAAAATTATATAAACTTTAAAATTTTAATTAAAATTAAACTTCCGACCGAGGTATGTATTGTAATGATGTAAATTCAATGCTATTGGCTGAATTTTTAACAATATACATCTTCACTATCTGGTTTTGTGGCGCAGTAGCGGGCCTCAGGTTCGAATCTCGCCTTTGAATTATGGAATTTCGAAATGCTGGACACATCTACACAATTCAGTCAATGCATGGAAGTGACATTGCGTAGATATAACAAAGACAGTAAACGTTATTGTACTATCGTGAATCTAGTATTGTTGAGATAGAGGTATCGCAGTGAATACTAAATGAATGAATGAAACAGCTGAAGCTGAAATATTGGGTATGAATTGTTAAACAAATAAAAAATAAAAGTTATTCCGTTTAATATCTCTGTCTTACAGTTTGTAACTCTTTTTGCAGCTAAGGTTTTTTTAATTAGTACCATTTTTTCAAAAAGATGTTATTTTTCAAAGAGAAATTGATATAAAAATGCTTAGTGAACAGAACGTCGATCCTCGCCGGTCGCCGTTACCAATAAAATTATTAATTCATAAATGAGAATACTAAGTGTAAACCTGCATGGCTTAAAAATTAAAAAAAATATATTTTCATGGATGTGTGCAGTCTGCCAATATGCATTTCTAGGTTGTACATCGAACCCTTCTCTGCTTGAATATCTTGTTCTCAGAATTAAGGAGTCTGTGGAGAATAGTTTATTAATATATTAATTATCTAATAAATGCACTTTTTTATCATCATAATCAACTTTTATTTACGTGATATTGCTCGTTATTGAGAGTGTAAGGGGTAATGAACTTTAGAATTTATTATAACCAAACCATATCATTTGTCGAAGTAGGTACTGAACTGATTTTCATAATAAATATGGCATTGTTATAAAGGAAAATAATTAAATTTTACAATATATCAGTAAACACAGGCTTATCGATTTCTATAAAGAGAATATAACTTTATGCAATGGGCTGTTAGGCAAATTTTAGCTATTACAGTAATTTATGAGACTAAGTATGATATGATTGATAGTTACCAATTCAAAGCGTGAAAAAATTGAGACAGCAAATCTTCAACTTCAAGCTACTACATTAATTCGTCGTCCCATTTCAGCGTGGGTATGATCCATGCACAGTTTCCTCTAGCAAATAAAATAATATGCAAAAATTAAAATGAACACAACATGCAATAATGTGATTCAAATAAACCTTATTTAAGTATTAATTTTGATAATTCAAATAAAAGATTATAAAAGTGATTATTGTGATCCCAACGTTGATACTAATCTTAACCAATTCCAAAAATGGCGAAGAATTTGTTTAGAAAAACAATTTTTGGTAGTTTTTTTTCGCAGAGGATGTATTGAAAATCTTTGTCAAGACAAAGATACGCCGTTCTAATTACAATCAGATTAAGCCGAATTTCTATTTTCAAGAAACGGTTCGTCCTACGATAAAACTTTTACGTTTTACGTATCTAGGGATATTTATCATCAGGAACATTGAATATAAGTTTGAAATTTGCCTACTCTTAGAAAAATAACCCATAATAAACCGTAATTAATGTCCTACGTAATCTATGGTATATATCATTACAGTAATAAACGAGCCTGCGAGTTTGTCGCTTTGTGACAGTGTAAGATAGCAGCAGTATAACCTTTTCGTATTTTAAAGTTAAAGTTACAACCTATATACGTCCCACTGCTGGACACAGGCCTCCCCCCGTTTTTGAGAGGGTTTAGGGCAAGAAATTGTCCGCCGAATATATATAAATAGTGATATACCGTTATTGCAGTTGTTGAAAATACGAGTAAATAAGGCTTCTCTTTTTATTGGAAATTATCCCAAATTGAATGTGATTGCTCCTTACGAATGTGCGCGTGCGCAGTAAAATCGGTTAAAATGTGTGAGTTTTTTTAATTTATTTTTCTTCACCATTTGCCTATATTACTTATTCTGAACCTTTTCTGCAAATTTGGCCGGTTATTACAAAATAACCCTAAATATAATATAAATAAATAGTAACCTATGCATTGCTCTATGTGGGGAGCCGGGCGGCGAGGACGCGGGTGAGAGCGCGGGCGTAGCGGGCGCGGAGGCAGCGCGGCGCCGCGAGTACTCCGTGCCGCCCACCGCCATCGCTGTACCGCCGCTCACCGGGTCCGTCACACGCGTCACACTCAGTCCAGATGTCGAGCGAGTCGGCCTAGATGTTGCTGAAATAAATAAAATACATTGGGTACGAGGGCGACACTGAAAGTTTTTAGAACTGGCCACTTGTAAACGATATAATAAAAAAATAAGTTCAAGTTTTGAAAATGGAACTCTGCCAATATTATTGTGTATGTATTAATTTGTCATTTGTTTTCGATTTGACGGCAAATTGAAAATTGTCTGTGTCGAAAAGCAAGAAAGAACGGATAAGAATAATAGAGGAATGTCTGATAACTTTCAGGCAAATATTAAAATGTTCTGGAAACTCGTAAGGCTGCCTGGGGGGGAATTTAAAAAGCCTAAAATGAAATGTGACGAGAATGGCTGTATTCTGAATAACGAAGTATCGAGTTTAATGATATGGAAGGAATGCTTTGAAAGCGTGTTAATGAGTGAGGAGACGTTTGAATTAAATTAAATAGAAAGTATAGATGAAATAATGAAAAACATGAAAGCAGGTAAGGCCACCGGGTATGATAGAGTATCACTCGAAATGCTAAGGGTTAGAGAGGGAGTTGGCAGGCCTGCTGTATACCTTATTTAATTTATGTTGGGAACTGAAGCGGGTACCGGAAGATTGGTGCAAATCCGTAATAGTTCAAGGAAAAGGGCAGCAGGACTGTAAAACCTACCGTGGTATCAGCCTTCTTAGCATTGTGGGAAAACTGTATGCACCAATTAGCACCTTATTATTGAAAAAGTTATGAAAAAAACTGATGGAAAAAATTTTAAATATGCAAGCGGGATTTAGAAAGGGAATGGGGTATACACATCAAGTCTTTTCCATGCGAAAGATCGCGGAGAAGTTTTTGGCCAAAAAACAAAAAGTTTTTTGTGCGTTCATGGACTTGGAAAAGCCTTATGACCGAGTGGACAGGGCAAACACTGAACACATTTGGGATGAGCACGGGATCATTAACGTCTATTTATACGGACTCTAGTACTTGTGTCAGGATCAACGGGGCCTACCCGGACTGGTTTGGCATCCTTATAGGTGTCAAACAGGACTGTGTGGCTTCCCCGTGGCTGTTCAACCAATTTATGGACAGTTGTCTGGAAACTTTGAAAGTTGAAGAATATGTCAAATGCCTTTTGTACGCTGATGATCAAGTCATTTTGCGTAGTCGGCGGCCGAGTTGCAAACGATGAACAGGTCATTAAAAGAAAGCGGAATGAAAGTGAACCCAAGTGAGACGAAAGTGATGGTTTTTCAAAGAGAAAAAAGTATATCGAATTATGAAATAACAATAGAACGGGAGTTGGTTGAGCAAGTACGAGTAAGCGCAGCAAATAGAGTAAATGGGGCTCTACACTCTATTGTGTTAAGTCAGAATGTGTAAAAAAGGCACGTATGGCAATTTACAATGGTGTGTTAGTTAATTATGGTAGTGAAAGTTGGGTGTGACAGAAGAAGCACGAGAATAGAATAAATGCTGTAGAAATGCGGTCATTAAGGAGTATGTTAAGGCTGAATCTGAAAGACAAGGTGAGAAAATGTGTGATAAAAGAAAAGTGTGGTTTGCGAGATGATGTTGTGACCAGGATTAAGAAAGGAATGCTTCGGTGGTTTGGTCATGTAGAAAGAATGAACGAGGAAAGAGTGACAAAGCAAATCTATGTCGCAGAGTCGGGAAGGGATGCCCTAGACGAATTTTTATCGACCAAATTGGCGATATAGTGAAAATGAGCCAGATTAGGAGTACCCTTAAGCGACGAGCGTGTATGCGTAAATATATTATCGATGTAAAGGAGAGAGGTGTCTCAGGATCGTGCCTAATGGAAGTCCGTAGTTTCTGCCTAACCCTTTGGGTGACAGGCGGGAGTGTTTATGTTATGTTTAAAGATTTAATTTTGTCACTTGCAGGTCTCGCCCCACGCAACGGTGTTCGTAGCAGGTATCGTGTCCTCGCTCGCAAAATTTAATCTTAATTACGCGTAGTTTGGCTGCAGGCCTGGTTTGTCAACTGAAAGTGCCATCTTATGTCTCATGCAGACAGTAAAGTACAATAATCGCGAAAAAACCCAACTTAACGCGTGTTTTCTATTTCTCTGGAAAGCCTTCAATATGGTTCCATATGAGATTCTTTGGAAGAAACTGAGACGTGACAATACCTTCGTCACTATTTAAATACTGATATAATCATGATGGTGTAAGATACTTTCGGAGGAGTACAAGTTGGAGTGCGGGGTGAGGCAGATAGATACATTTCCCAGCCTACTTCGCTCCTATACAAACAGGGTCCTGGTTGTGCTTAGCAGAACTCCTAATATCGGATGTCGTATTAACGGCGTTTGCGTAAACAACGTGATTTTATGGATGATACAATCCTCGTGAGCCTGAGCCTTGATAGGGGGAGATAATATTATTTAGGTTGCGAAACTAAATTAAAATGTACCTACGATCATTCTTGGTTTCACACCGCTGTCCGTTGTACTGCAGTTTAAAAATTTGGGACGTTGGGTCACGGAGGACCTAAAAAAATATTGAGGATATTGAGAGAGAGCGCAGGGCGTAGGCTCTGCGTTGTAATATGTTGGCTCGCAGGTCTGCACGCTGTACACAACAGGAAAAGATGGCATTGTTTAAAGCCAACTGTCAGTCCTTTTACACACGTAACCTGTTGTGTGGGCCTTTATTTTTGACTTTACGCGTCGGACATACAGCAATCTTTGTGTTCAGTACAATAATGCCTTCAGGGTGCTGATGGGGCTGCCGCGCTACTGCAGTGCGTTCGGTATGTTTGCGCAAGCGCGGGTCGATGACTTCTACGACGTCATCCGCAAGCGGAGCGCTTTTGTGTCCGTTGTCGCGCCAGCACCATCAACATCCTGCCAACCATTGCTGAATGCTGCGCCAGCCATTTGTTTACTCCATTGACAGGGCTTCATACTCTCTAAGCACCTGATTTTTAAATTAATCATAATTGAAGTATTCTTATTTTGTTTGTTTTAGTTTGTTATTAGTTAATTCAGTTTTAGTAATAAGATTTAATTCGATTTTTTAGTTGATTAGCGAACTAAAAATATACAATATTTTATTATATACAATATTAAAACTAAAATTAAAAAAGAAAACTAAAACTAGTAACTTAATTATCATACAGTCCTTCTCCCCGCGGTATCGTGCCAAGAACGCTGGCTGCGTTTCCCCACTGAATGGCTATACTTAGCCGCAACGACCAGCCGCGGATGGTGCTCGTTTAGGAACTTCACCGCACATGGACCCCACGGACCGATAGTATCTACAGCAAATGGCACAAATATGTAGTCATCTCTCAGAGACTCATATTTGCGCATTAGTTGATTTGCAATTTGAATTTGATTTTATTTAATTAAATTTGATTTTTAATTTAACGTAATGTGATAAAAGTGATTGAATTTAAAGATTTTCGTATATTTTTTTACAAGGACCTTTTATTTAATTTAATTTGTAATATGCCCAATTGAATAATCGATTCTTGTTATATGACAACAAATTAATTAGTTATACAATTTAATATATCTTATGATACAATAAACGCTCATTTATTACTTAAATCTTAACTCTTATTAATTAGATAAAAATACATCATAAAAGTCAGCATCGCGCAATCGGTATAGCCGAGATATGCTCTCTCTCTCCCGTACCTCAAGCTCGTTCTCGATTATCTGGCAGGTGAAAAATTGCATCAAATTGATCTGGCTTTTTGGCATTATTTGTCTTTAAGGAACTATTAATCTCCCAAAATCTCAGTGCCTCAAAAACATTTTTGCATTTGTCTAAAAACCATTTTGCAATAGTCTGGTTAACATTTGGACCCGACTAATTGATCTGACTTTTTTATTTTTTTATTCCTTAAATATCTAGCTTAAAGATAAATTTCAAAATGCCTAAAAATACTTTTTTTAATAAAGAAATTTTCCTTTTAAAAATTCAAGGGTTGGTAGGAGGCCGCTACACTTCAGCCAGACCTTGACTGTCTTATTTAGGGGTTCTTCAAGGACAATTACAAAATGTTTCGTAGTGCCTCAAGAACCTATATAAAATTGCTCACCACCTATATTATACATACATGATATACTCAACAAAGTGTTTGTGAAAAGAATTCTTACGAAGAAAAGATTTTTTAAATTAGATGATTATTTAAAAGAAAGGAAAAATAAATGCGTAGGTTTAATGAACTTCCTTAGATTTGTTTTTGCTTATGTACATAATATAGTATGTATATTTTATAAGATTAAATTATAACTCTTGGGATAAAAATTGTCTACTTGTAAGTTTCTTGTGGCGGCTTCTTTTAACAAAGTCTCCCGCAATAAGGACTTGTAAAAGCGATGGAGCAGCTTTCTCGACGTTCATAAAGTGTTTTGTAAAGACTAATTTTGAATACAAAATATTTTGACTTTAACTTTGACTACGTATTGTCCTACATATTCAGATAAATAAGGGAGTACTTAATAACTGTTTGAACCTGCATTCTGTCAGATGCGAAAAAGGTTATTTAAAAATGCGAGGTATTTATATTCTTGCACTGTTGTTCTGCTGTAAATATAAATTCTTCGCATGCACAAAGCAATCCTACCCAGGGTGGTGAGTATAGAGTAATTCAATGAACACTTTTATGGGACACCCACAGTAAGAGGCGACAGACGGAAACTGAAACAGCATATTCCAGATTTTATTTTTATAGGATAAGGGTAACAAACGAGCACACAGTCCATCTGATGGTAAGTGGTTGCTGCGGCCCATAGACATCTACATCTATCCTCTATTACAAATCAAAATGTAGATGCGTTGTCACCCGTGAGGACTAAGAGGGAATGCCTCGTTTCCAGTAAAAAGGGCCTCCGGCCACCTGCACCCACCAAGCGAAACGCAGAGGTAAACCTCTACTTCACGCTGGTTTTCTGTGAGGTCGTGGTACTACCCCGGTTCGAGCCGGCCCATCCGTGCGACAGCAAAAGCTGCCGCGTGGCTCTACCACTGTTAAAAAGATAGATAAGAATAATAAAGATAGATAAG